CCTTATTCCCCCCATCTCTTGGTGCAGGATCTCCATGAAGCCCTCTGCACCCATCCCTGTGGGGCCCTGCACAGATCGGGCTCCAGCCCAGCCTGGGATGCTCAATAGCGGCCTCTGCTCTCCATCTGGTGAAATGCTTTATTTTACTGAATTTCAAAATAGGACTCACGGGACATACACAGGCGTGCATTCTGCTTTTCCCTGCTTGACCTTACAGAATGAACGTTTTCCCAAGTCCAAGTACCCCTCATGAATCTGGTTCAGTGGCCATGGTGTGTCCCAGAGCTCAGACACGCTATCATTCACCCCGCTGTTCTTCTCCAATTGGAGTGTGAGTTGGTGCCAACTTTTTGTTAATATGAATACTGCTGTGATGGACATCCCTGCACATGTATCTGTGCACACTCACAATTCAAATGCCGTCCTCCAGCTGGACATGCCAGTAGGTTCTAAGGCTGCTAACACGTGCCCCGGCAAGCTCTGTGCTGCCCACCATCCTCGGAGAAACAGCCTCGCTGCCTCTCAGTAGACCCCAGGGAGGGCAGGTGAGGGTGGCGGTGGTGGGACTGGCATCAGCCACTTCCAACGCAGGCAGCTGAGAGTGCCCCTTGCAGGGAGGAGATGAGGCTGAGGGGCTCAGGAGCATCTGTCTCTGGAAGGGAAAGCCTGAAGCCCTGGGGAACTGCTGAGCTGTGACTTGGCTGGAAGCTGGGAGGGTGATGTCCCTGGAAAGGAGACACTGGCATGCCACAGCCAGCATCAGGAGGCCAAAGGGCAAACCCCCGTGTGACTCTTCATGCCCACAGAGACTGGAGGTGGAAAGGTGGGTGCTGGGGGCTGGGGAGGGAGCTGAGCGTTCCCTGTGGACAGAGCTTCAGTGGGGAAGATGGGACTTCTGTGGACAGAGGGAGGTGACAGCTGCACGGTCATGTGAATGGGCTCAGGGCCACTGAACCATGGGCTTAACAACTGTAAGATGGGCCAGGTGCTGTGGCTCATGCCTGTAATTCCAGCACTTTGGGAGGCCAAGCCTGGCAGCTCACAGGTCACGAGTTGAAGACCAGCCTGGTCAACATGGCGAAACCCCGTCTCTACTAAAAATACAAAAGTTAGCCAGGTGTGTGCCTATAATCCCAGCTACTCAGGAGGCAGAGGCAGGAGAATTGCTTGAACTGGGACCTGGGAGGCGGAGGTTGCAGTGAGCCAAGATCGTGCCACTGCATTCCAGCCTTGGCTACAGAGCAAGACTCTGTCTCAAAAAAACAAACAAACAGTAAGTTGGTGAATTATGTGTATTTTACCACAATAAAAAGAAAGGAAAAAAAGGGGGATCAAAAGGGACAGACAGGGAGTGCAGGCAGAGGGTAGGTAAAGTGAGGAAGGCTGGAAGGTGACAGCAAGAGCCGTTTTCATCCAAACTCCCGATTCCAACATCTCTGGGCAGCTTCTGTTTGAAGAGAATTGAAATAAACGCTCTGCCGGGAAAGCGGGTCTACACGGGACAGGTCTGGGACAAATGGAGGCCGGGACACATCCTGATGGGCATCCCCACGCCTGCCTTTGGAGGCTCCCAGGCTGCCAAGGCGACAGGGTCCAGGCTGGGTCACTCACAGTGGACCAAGCAGGGCCACCATGGACAGACCCCGAGCCGTTGGTGCAATGACACGTGTCCCCAGAGTTTCTAAGGCTGCGGCGCAGCTGTTGCCGGAAATAGCCTCCCCTCCCACTCTGGCATCTGGGGCTCCAGAGACCACTCACCCCCAGAGCGGGGACAAGGGGTGTCCTAGACTCTCCTCCTCACTGTCACTGCTGTCGGCCAATCTTGCTGTCACTACCTGTCTTTTTTTTGAGACCGAGTTTTACTCTTGTCGCCCAGGCTGGAGTGATCTCGGCTCACTGCAACCTCTGCCTCCCAGGTTCAGGTGATTCTCCTGCCTCAGCCTCCTGAGTAGCTGGGATTACAGGCACCACCATGCCCAGCTAATTTTTGTATTTTTAGTAGAGATGGGGTTTCACCATGTTGATCAGGATGGTCTGGAATTCCTGACCTCAGATGATCTGCCCTCCCTCTGACTTCCTGTCTCTGTGGCTCTGGAGACCCTGGGAACCATGTGAGTGGAATCAGAGGGTTTGTCCTTATTCATCCCGCCTCTTGCATTCAGGCTGGAAGCATGCACGCCTCTGCGGTCAGGTACCCAAGGGCTGGACAAGGGATGTCCTAGAGTCTCTGTCCTGGAGCCCCTCTGCAGCAGAGCACAGGCGTCCTCACCCGCCTGCACAGCTGTGAAGCTCTCCCTGGGAATATGGACAGGGAGGCTCTGGGGTCTGCTTGGCTGCTCCAGTACCTGCAGTGCCAACGCCTTTCCAACTATGATCTGTCCCCTCCCCGCATCACACCCCACAGCACAGTGCTGGCCCCATCCTTCTAGATGCTTCCACGGGTCCTCCGGCAGCTGCCTCCCATTCAGCGGGAACCTTCTCAAAGGCAAGCCTGACCCACAGTCCAAGCTCCTTTCTTAGCATCTAGAGACTAGCTCAGCCCAGTCGTGGCTGAGGCCACCCTGTCCCCAGGACAGCAGGCTGCCCATGGCCAGGGGCCATGCCCCCTATGCCCCTGAACCTCTGCCCATGTGGCCCCAACTTCTTGGCAGTCTCGCACCCCCAGCAAACTCTTTTGTATCCCTCAAAATTCAGCTCAAGGCCTCCTCTTCCAGGAAGAAGCCTTCCTGATCACGGGCTGGCCTCACCCAGTGCCTGTCCCAGAACCGGCTGCGGGGGCGGTGAGGGGCTGTCTGCACACCTGTCACTTGCTTCGTCACTTGCTCTCTTCAGGCAGGGCTGTTCTGGTTGGAATGAGAGAAAGGCTCTCCGGGCATCTCTGACAAAACGTTCTTGACAGCTGCACTGTCTCGGCTGTCCCGGGCAGGCCCCTTCGTCTCATTGCTCTGTCCTCTGCCCTGGCAGGGTTTCTGGACACCAAGGCCAGGCTGGACCTGCCTCTAGGAGAACTCAAGTAGGGAATGGGGCAGGTGAGGGTCTAGAGAAGGCCAAACAGGAACCAGGAGGGCGGAGGGTGGAGAGCGGCCCCAGAGAGAGCTCCCCCTGCAACCTGGAGTGTGGGCCTGGGCCTGTGTGAGAGCAAGCCTCGCTCGGGTAAGGCTAATGGCCTTCTAGGCTGGGCTTGGGTGCTGGGGGAGGGGAGCCTGGAGATGGTGCCGGATGTGGCTTCGAGACCATGGGTATGAAGTGCTGTGTCACGGAGGTGAACCTGGGTGGCCCAGACAGGCTGCAGGCAGACCCAGCCCTCAAGGAGGCAGCGGTTAGTGCTGCCGGCAAAGTTGGTGTTTTCAACAGCAAGGATGGGGTGTGTGGGGGTGCCCCGCACTGCACGAAGCCCCTGATGCTGGTCCTGCGGATGCATCGTCTCCCTCTAGGTGGGAGTCCAGCAGTCCTGGGACTGACTCACGGTGTCCTTTTCTGGGGGCATTTGGGCTGCAGCTTGGACACAGCCTGGTCACCTTCCCCCTGGGCAGGCCCACCCCGCCACCTGCCTCCCAGCATCCTACTCAGCAACGGCCTGAGAAGACACTGAATGAATGTTTGTCTTTGGAGTCTTCCCAAACACAGAACGGGGTGGGCCAGCCAGCGACGGCCTCCAGTGTTCTGGGGTCTCTGGAAAGTTCTTTCCATTTGGTCTGTGGGGCAGGACAGAAGAGTTCAGACAGGAGATGGTCCCATAAAATCATGGCCCACGTGAGCAAGAGAACCCTGATTCCTGACACTTCCAACCTCATCACCAGGCAGAGACCCCTGAGATCAGGAGCCCCCCGGAGGCCGAGGCTGGAGCAAAGTGCTGCTCTGTGCAGTGTGTGTGGGGTGGGGTGGGGGGGGGAGTGTGTCTCCGATGGGCACAAGCTAAATGTAACCCAGGCAGGCACCTCATCACAGAGGAGCAGCCGTGGCACATGCTGCTGTCCTAAAACCCAGTCTTCAGAAGTGTTCTCATTGGTGGCTGGGTCTCCTGCCTCCCTGAGTGACACTGGGGACCAAATAACCCCTTCCCTTATGTGGCTGCCTACCCATTCCCCCTGGGAGGGCCGAGGTGCAGGGCTAGAGTTTGTGTTTTGGGGACGCCCAAGCCCTCCTGTGCAATCCCGACACTCAGGTCTCAGGCAGGGCGTGGGCAGGTAGTCACTGCTGCCCCCTCCTTCCAGCTGGACTGTCCCGAGCAGGCCCCTCGCCCCAACCTTCTCCCTGTTTGAGGAGTGAGGCAGGTTGGTGTCTGCAGGGCCCGGAAAGAGCTCCCCTTCCCACTGCGCCCCGCGTCCCTGCAGGTAGGAGTGCGCGCTCCGCCGCCCGGTCCTGGGTTGGAGCAGAAAAAGGCCCGCTGGGGGCGTGCCTGGGACCCCCCCCCCCCCGAAGGCGTCGGCCCCCGGCCCGGGACCGGCGCCCGACCTCACTGGGGTTCGCGACTCGGCTGGGTCCCCGCCTGGGTCCGGCTGAGTCTCCATCCTGCCTGTGCGGCTCCTGCACCCCGGCGCACCCGGCTCTCTGTGTGCCTCAGTTTACTCCTGGGGTCCGCTGAGCGGGAAGTGGAGTCCTGGCTCGGGAACCTCAGCCCGAGGCCGGCGCTGCTGCGGGAACTAGGACTCCCGAGGCGGCCCATGCGCAGGGGCGCTGCAGAGCCGGAATCCCGGGGCTCGCAACGCCTGTTTGCGGGGTGCCTGGGGTGCAGCGGTGGAGGACATGGGGCGTGGGGGGCGTGGGCAGCCCCAGGCGGGGCGCTGTGCCAGTGCCGCCCGGAAGGCCCCTAGAGCAGGGTCCACCGCGCCCAGAACCTGTCCCACCGCTGCCCCGCCCCTGCCCCGCTGCCCCCTCCAACCCTGCCCCTTCTCTCATCCCCAGCCCCGCCCCCACACCTGCCCCTACTCCTAAGCCTGCCGCGCTCCAAACCCGCCCCTAACTCCAGCCCTCCCGGGTCCCGCAGCCGCCCCGCCCCCGCAGCCGCGCAGCCCCCAAGAGGGCTCCGAGCTGGTCCCGGGAGCTGCAGCGCCGCTCGCCAGCGCCAGGGGGCGGCCTTGTCCTTCTCGCGGCGACCGGACCCCCGCGTGCTGGGGGAGGAGAGACCGCCCGACAACCCTGTGCCCCTTCCCTTCCTCCTGAAGCTGGGAGAGCCGGGAGCGGGCTTTTCTCGCAAGAGCACAGGTGCGGGGTGGGGACCCAGGCCAGGGGCGGGTGTGTGCTCGGCGCCCACTCCAGAGGGTCACCCTGCAATCAGCAGCAGTGGGGTGGGGTGTGGAGACAGAGAGAAGGCAGGGGGGAGACAAGAGAGAGAAAGGGAGAGAGAGAGAGCAGGAGAGAGAAGAGAGGGAGAGACAGAGAGAAGTGGGGAAAGAGCGGAAGAGAGGGGGAGAGAGACAGAGAAGGGGGAAGAGAGAGAAGGCAGGAGAGAGACAGAGAGAGACGGGAGAGAGAGAAACTGGGAGAGACAGACAGAGAGAGGAAGAGACAGAAGAATGGAGAGAGACAGAGAGAGACGTGAGAGAGACAGAGGAGACCCCGCTTCTTGGGCAAGAGTGCCGGGGGCATGGGGTTGGTGTGAAGCCCTGCTGTGCGCCAGGCCTCGGGTGAGCCAGGCTGGCACCAGCCGCCTCCCAAGGAGACAGTGTGGGGTCCCAAGTTCCACCAGGACACTCCACAGTCTCCCTGGGGCGGGCCGTGAGGCCGTGGGGAGGAAGTGCTCTGTCTCAGGGCTGACAGGCTGCTGCAGGGACAGAGCCCTTGGGGAGGCCGCAGTGAGTGCTGCTGGTAAGGTCAGTGGGTGCAAGGGAAAGGACTTGGCCTTTCAAGGGTGCCCCATACTCTGCACAAAGACCCTCCAGCCACTGGTTCCTGCTGGCACCATTGCCTCTCTCTAGGTGGTCTGGATTGCTGAGGGCAAATGTGGACGGGGTCCCACAGCCCAGGGACTGACTTGCTGTGTTCTCTTTCCCAGGGCCTTAGGGCCGAAGCTTGGTTACAGCCTGGTCATCTCCCCACCTCCCCGCCGGCAGCAGCTTCACCACCACCCTCCAGAGTCCCTAGCCGCCCAACTCAGCAACTCAGGCATAAGACAGTCACTAGCTGGGTGAATGGCTCTTCCAGACACAGAGACAGCTTCAGACAGGAGACAGGTTGGCAGGCCAGCGATGGTCGATGATGCCATGGGGTTTCTGGAAAGAGCTCTTGTTAGCTCTAGTGGACAGGGAGGGACAGTTCAGAAAGGAGTTTGACCCATAAAAGCATTGTGTGATCATGGTCTGAGTGTGGCTCGCATCCGTAATCCCAGCCCTTTGGGAAGCCAAGGCGTGAGGATTACTTGAAGCCAGGAGTTTGAGACCAGCTGGGCAACATGGCAAGACCCCTGTCTCTACATGGTGGTGTGTCTTAGCTTCTCGGAAGGCTGAGGCGGGAGGATCACTGATGCCCAGGAGGTAGAGGCTGCAGCAGGCCTTGATCAGCCCCTGCACACTGCACTCCAGCACGGGCAACAGAGTGAGACTTTGCCTCAAAAACAGAAAAACTAGCCGGGCGCGGTGGCTCACGCCTGTAATCCCAGCACTTTGGGAGGCCGAGGCGGGTGGATCACGAGGTGAAGAGGTCGAGACCCTCCTGGTCAACATGGTGAAACCCCGTCTCTACTAAAAATACAAAAAAAATTAGCTGGGCATGGTGGCGTGTGCCTGTAATCCCAGCTACTCGTGAGGCTGAGGCAGGAGAGTTGCCTGAACCCAGGAGGCGGAGGTTGCAGTGAGCTGAGATAGCGCCATTGCACTCCAGCCTGGGTAACAAGAGCGAAACTCCGTCTCAAAAAAAGAAAGAAAGAAAAACTAAACATTATGTACAAATAAACTGTTTTTTTCTTTTTTAGTTGGAGTCACTCTGTTGCCCAGGCTGGAGTACAGTGGCACAGTCTCAGCTCACTGCAGCCTCTGCCTCCTGAGTTCAAGCCATTCTCCTGCCTCAGCCTCCCAAATAGTTGGGACTACAGGCATGCGCCACCACACCTGGCCAATTTTTATATTTTTGGTAGAGACGGGGTTTTACCATGTTGGCCAGGCTGGTCTCGAACTCTTGACCTCAAGTGATCCGCCCACCTCAGCCTCCCAAAGTGCTGGGATTACAGGCATGAGCCACTTCTCCTGGACTAGACTTTATTTTTTAGAGCAATTTTAGGTTCACTCTTCACAATAGTTTCCCGCCCTAAGAATCCCTGGCTCGCCTCATGCCACCCTCACCCCCGCCCCTGGTTTAGCTTATTCTGTTGGATTCTTTCTTGGGATTCTGCCCAGGCAGGGGCGGGGGCTCACCTCACTCAGACAGGAGACAGGCTCCTGGAGCTGGGGACTGACTTGAGGCCAGGGCCACACCCCTGGAAATATGGCTTTGCCCCATCCTGGGGGCAGCGTGACGGCAGCTGCCATGGCCCTGCTGGTTACTCATGCCCCTTGGCACAATCATGGCCACAAGGAGCTGTTCTGTTGTGGAACACGAGGGTTGTGGAGGACCACAGTGGCACAGGCAGCAGGTGACCCGCTCTCAGCCACACGCTCGGGGAATGTCAACAGCAGGGCTGTCTCCTGGTGCGGAGCAGGCAGCCCTGAGGTGTGGGGTCCAGCCTGCTGGATCTCGAGGGTATTTTCTATGGGTGCACAGATGAGAGACTGTGCAAATAAAGACAGGATACTGAAATCAAGAGAAAAAAAGTTGGCCCAGGGGACCACTGCCACCAGTGGGCGGAGACTGGCAGTGGCCCCGAGTGCCCCGACACTCTAACTTTTATTGGGTACAAAACGGGGCAGGGCAAGCAGGGTGATCACGAGTCTAAGGAACGAGGGGCCCAGGGCTTGCAAGCAGCTGACCCAAGGGGCAGCGGGATGCATCTGCACTTTATGTTATGCCTGTCAAGTCAGAACAAAGGCTTCCAGAATCATGCTACTTCTTCAGCTCCTGCCGAGTGGCAGGTGGCCCCAGCACCTCCTACCGTAGGGAGGGAAATTGGACACAGATTGTGACCAACACAGCACACACCACATAGAGACAGTGAAGCCCCCGGGTAGCTGTGATGGGCTGACTGAGCTCAGTCCTGCCTCAAGAGCGTGAGGGAGTGGAGTGTTCTCCGACTCACCCAAGGACAGGGACGTTCCCTTCCAAGGTCTGCTGAGTAGCAGGTGCTTCCCCAGCCCTGGTGCTGCCCCAGAGATTTTAGACGTCCTCTCGAAGGCCTGATGCGGGTGTGACAGGGGGCTGGGCTTCGGTGTTCAACAGGTTGTCCCTGCTGGGTGCCACCAGTCGACGTCGGACAGGTATGAATGCTCTTGCCTTGTGGCCACATTGCATAGTGTCCCCATCAGTCCCTGAGCACACCAAGCCGAAGTTCCCAGGTAATCATGCATAAAGCACAATCAAGCCCTAATGTTAATAAGATTAATTTCTAATCTCTCATGTTACTTATTTCTAACTAGATTTTTCCTTCTATAGTCTATTTATTTAAACAGGAACTGGCTGAGGCTTCAGTCTCCTGCTTCGGCACGTGTGAGACTTTCCACCCACACTGAGGTGGCCCCAGCACCTCCTACCGTCGGCCAGTGAGGCAAGTCAGCTGCTTGAGTGTCCAGAGGCTGCTCCGAGCCCAGACTGCTTTGCTGTGTGCCCACAGGCTTGGTGGCCCGGAGACATTTGTCAAAGGAATGCCTGATGGTGTGAATGAGCGGATGGATGCCTTCTTCCGTGAGTTGCCTTGCTGCCTACAGAGGCAGGACCAGAGGCTCCCTACCTGGCTGTCAGAACTATGGGGCGATACGGTGGCCCACTGTGTCCACCCCACCACCTCCCGATGGCCATTTATCTGCAGAGCTGGTCCCCTCAGGGATTGGATCTTGGCAAGGGCTCACTTTGTCCAGCTTCGAGGACTCACCCATCACATCCAGACTCCAGGAAACCGCAGCCAGTCTGTTGCCCCTGGAGTGACGCCTGTGGTGGAAGCCACAATCGTCGCTCGCCCCAGACACCCAGCATGCTCTGCACACAGGCCGCAGGGGGCATGGGCGTCAAATTAGCATTGCAGGGGGGTCCCGAGACTGTTGATATCAGCACTTCGGGGTTATTTATGAATTCATCTATTTCCTGGGACAGGCCTTTCTGCATTCGGTTGCCATGGTAGCTTTAAACCCAGTATCTTATTAATTCTGCATGTTATGAAATAAATATAGATCAGACAATTGCAGTGAAGGTTCTATTTTTTTATTATGCATTTGGTTCTTGGGGCTGGGGGTGGGATGCTCCCAGCACACCACTGTCTACACACATCCATCAGCCTCAGGGGCCCAGGCAGGTTGCAGGGCGCATGACTGCGCCTGAGAGCTGAGTGGGGTTGGGGAGGGGACACGAGGCCACCTCAGGGAAAGGGTGAGGCTTGAAGACCCCACGGGCATGCCAGTGTCCTGAGCTCTTCGGCTGGAATTGCAGGGCCAATGGCTTGGGGTGGTCCGCACTGCAGAGTGGGACCTCTGACGCTGCTGAGCAGAGGTGCCCAGGGCAGGGGCCACTCAGGTGACCTTGCAGAGGTGCCCGGGACAAGGGCCACTCAGCTGCCCCTGGCGCTGCCTAAGCAGAAGAGAAGAGGAGACTTCATCAGAACCAGCAGACTCGAGGTCCCTGATGTTCTTGAGGTTTCAGGCTTGTGGGGGGCAGGGGGGTCCACTTAGGGAGGTACCTCTTTTGGGCACCTTGGATTTAGCTTAGTTCTGTGGGACATTGTGGGGCCTCCATGAGCACTTCATGTGCCTGGGAACCCTGCAACAGGCTGGGAATCGGGGCTGTTCCCACCTCCACCTTGCAGGCCCAGAGTGTGAAGTCACAGCGAGGTGAGCAGCCCTGGAACCCGGGGCTGTTAACTGTGGGCCGTGGCCCACCCTGGGCTCTGAGGCAGAGTCCCCCATGCCTTCCTCAGCCTTCACACCCAGAAAGCCTTCCCAGGTCTATCTGTGCTTGCCCAGTGCAGACCAGGCAGGGGTGTGTGGTCAGGGGCACCCCTGCAGCAGTCAGCACCTAGGGCTGGCAGTGGGCAGTCTGAGGTCTGGCGGGAGCAGGGCACTGGGTCTGGCAGAGTGGGCACCTGGGAAAGATATTTTCTCCCTGAGTCTCCCCTGCCTGGGGTCATGGCTCTGGCACAGATGGTTTTAGGGAAATAATGGCAGCCTTTGGCTGGATCAGGCCTTTGCTTCCTCTGACCACTAGTGGACCTGGGCTCAGGACCAAGAACGCACCAGGAACCGGGATGGGCAGGGCTGGGTGAGCAGGGAAGAGGGAAGGGTCCCAGTAAGGAACTGGGTGCAGGGTGCCCAGGCAGGGCTTTGCAAGCAGCCACCAGGCAGAGACCCCACCAGTGCGGCCAAGACTCCTGGAAACTCGCCACGTGCAGGCAGAGGCAATGGCATGGGCTGGGCTGCGAGGCTTCTAGGGATACCCCCACCTTCAGCGTGCCATTGGCTCAGTGGCCCAGGCCCCATCTGTCACAGGGCTGAGAGGTCGCCAGGGTCCGTCCAGCTGCAAGTCCCCGATTCTCTGCAGAGTCTGGTTCTTTGGGGCAGGCTGGGACCCCGTCTGCCTGTCACTCGGCCACGCACTGCTCTGAAGTGACCCATCGATCCCCCCGACGCCCCTGCCAGTGGCCAGCGCCAGCACGGGCCACTCAGATGCTCCCAGCCCCCAGAGCCCAATCAGGGCATCGACAGAACGGCACGCTCACCATTTAATTAAGCTCAGTTTAATTAAAAACCTGGAGTTCTTTATTAGACTTGGTAATTGATTTAATTTTCTGTGGAATTCAAGTGCCAAACACCTCTATTGTTTGAGCTCCTGAATTTTGGCAGGTGGAGACAGAAGCCGAAAAGGAAAATCCTGCCTCGCTGGGTGAGGTTTTGTCTAGCAGCAGCAAGGGCAGGATCCCCTGCTGACCTGCCACCCAAACCTCCCTTCCCAGCATCGAGGGCAGGGTCCCCTCCTGACCCGCCCCAAACTTCCCTTCCCAGAAGCGAGGGCAGGAACCTCTGCTGACCTGCCCCCCCAAACCTCCCTTCCCATGGCCAAGGGTTTTTCCCAATGAAAAGGGAACAAAATCCCACAGTGGCACGGGTTTCTGCTGGTCCCCAGGCTGGCAGTGGAGAGGGGTTTCCTTAGGTGATCCCAGGGGGACCTCTGGATGGGGAGGAGGATGTGGGGTGCAGGGAATCCATTTTGTGGGTTATTTTGGGGAAGTTTGGTCCTTCCTGGCCACCTTCATCTCTGCCTTGCTCCTGAGGGAGCTACAGGCCTGCTCCACGTGTCCCCAGCCAGGCCTCTAGAGGACAGAGCACCAAGCTGTGGGTGGCTGCACTGGGGCTTGAAGGCCTTGGGAAGGAGGGGACACAAAAGAAATCAGTGAGGTGTTTGTACACAGGAATCCTCCATTACCTGTCTCCTGAGAACACCAGCACCTTCTGCAGGATGCACAAGCCTCCCACTCACCTGGAGATTAAAGCCCCCTACCCCCACCCCATGTGGACCAGCACCTGGAACGGCAGCTCCAGCGACCTCAGAAGGAAGGAAGGTCTCCTATCCAGTACGTAGCGGTGACCTGGGACTCTTGGCTCCTCCAGGGCCGGAGAATACCTTCTGCGGAAGGAAATTTCTCTTTCCTAGCTGGGGTAGAGCATAAAAGCCGCTTTTAAAACTAGAGTTGTGGCCGGGCACGGGGGCTCATGCTTGTGATCCCAGCACTTTGGAAGGCCGTGGTGGGAGGACTGATTGAAGCCAGGAGTTCGAAACCAGCCTGGGCAATATGGCCAGACTCTATCTCTACAAAAAATAATTAAAAAAAAAAAAATAGCCAGGTGTGGTCATGCACACCTGTTGTCCTAGCTACTCAGGAGGCTGAGGTGGGAAATTGTCAGAGCCCAGTAGTTCCAGGCTGCCGTGAGCTGTGAGAGCCTGGATGACAGAGGGAGACCCTTGGCTCTTACAAAAACAAAAAAAAACAAGAAACAATCAAACAGAGGTAAGGGCCAGGCATGGTGGCTCATATCTGTAATCCCAACACTTTAGGAGGCCAAGGCAGGTGGATCACCTGAGGTCAGGAGTTCAAGACCAGCCTGGCCAACATAGTGAAAACCCCATCTCTACCAAAAATACAAAAATGAGCTGGGCATGGTGGCTCATGCCTGTAATTACAGCTTCTCAGAAGGATGAGGCAGAATTGCTTGAGCCTGGGAGGGGGAGGTTGCAGTGAGCTGAGATTGAGCCACTGTACTCCAGCCTGGGCGACAGAGCAGGACTCTGTCTCAAAAATAAATAATACAATAAAATAAAATAATTGAGCTTTGCAAAAACAGTCTGGTGGTTCTTCAAACTCTGAAGTACAGTTACTATGTGACCAAGCAATTCAATTCCTGGGTTCGAACCCACAAGGAATGAAAACAGGTCCCCCCAAGAACCTGCCCAGGAATCTTCACAGCAGCGTCACTCACAAAAGCCAAGCCGTGGAGACCACCCCCAGGCCCGTGAGGGGTGAGTGGGTGAACAATGGATCTATCACAGGAACTGATTTGGACCTAAAAAGGAATGAGTTAGTGATTGGTGCTGACACGTAGAGGAAGCTTGAGGACATTGGCTGAGTGAGGAGAGCCACACACAGGCCACGGGGCACAGGATTCCACTGACAGGGAATGCTCCCTGGAGACAGGACGTGGGTGAGTGGCCACAAGCTCACTCTCTCTTTCCTTTCCTTTCCTTCCTTTTTTTCATTGTGAAAATTGTGATTCGGGCCAGGCGTGGTGGCTCACGCCTGTAATCCAAGCACTTTGGAGGCCAAGGCGGGCAGATCACCTGAGGTTGGGAGTTCAAGACCAGCCTAACCAATATGGTGAAACCCCGTCTTTAAAAAAAAAAAGAAAATTGTGATTTGAAGAAACCTAACAAAACTGGTGCCATCTCTATTAGTGACTATCCATCCTCTCTATATATCATTATAAATCTCATCTCTAAAGACCATAATAGCTGGGTGTGCTGGTTCATGCCCATCATCCCAGCACTTTGGGAGGCTGAGGCGGAAGGATTGTTTGAGCCCAGGAGTTTGAAAACAGCCTGGGCAACAAACTGAGACCCTACATCCACAAAAAACAAAAAGGCAATTCACTTAGTATGGTGGCGCACACCCACTGCTGTCCCTGCTACCTGGGAGGCTGAGGCCGGAGGACGGCTTGAGCCCAGGAGGTCGAGGCTGCAGTGAGCTGTGATGGCACCACTGCAATCCAGCCTGGGTGACAGGGCGTGACCCTCAAAAAAAATCATAATAAATCTCTTGCTATATTGATTTATTCTGAGGGGTGAGCTCATGTGATGAGGTAGACTGAGAAGCCCCTTGGCCTGCTGACTTCCTGCAACCTGGAGACCCAGGAATGCCCTGCGTGGTTTCCATTCAAGTCCGAAGGCTGAACCCAGAGTGTCGAGCCTGGAAGCCCCAGGGCAGGAGACCGAGGTCTCAGCTGGAGCCGGCAGAGCGGGGACGAGACCTTCCAAGGCCTGTGTTCCCTCTGGTCCCTCCATAGATGGATGAGCCCCCCCACGCTCAGGGCTGTCTCAGTTCAGTTCCAATCCTCATCTCTTCCCGACACACCCTCACGCGCACCCAGAGTGTGGTTGTTTTTGAGACAGGGTCTCGCTCTGTCTCCCAGACTGGAGTGCAGTGGCGTGATCTCAGCTCACTGCAGCCTCTCCCTCCTGGGCTCATGTGTTCCTCCCGCCTCAGCCTCCTGAGTAGCTGAGACTACGGTGCATGCCACCATACCCAGCTAATTTTTATCTACCTATCTATCTATCTCTGTCTATCTGTCTATCTCTCTATCTCTATCTATCTATTGAAATAGAGTCTCACTCTGCCGCCCAGGCTGGAGTGCAGTGGCACGAACTCAGCTGACTGCACCTCTGCCTCTTGGGTTCAAGCAATTCTTGTGCCTCAGCCTCCCAAGTAGCTGGGATTACAGGTGTGCACCACCCGCCTGGCTAATTTTTGTATTTTTAGTAGAGATGGGGTTTACCATGTTGGCTAGACTGGTCTCAAACTCCTGACCTCAAGTGATCCACCCACCCTGACCTCCCAAAGTGCTGGAATTACAGGCGTGTGCTGTTGTGCCCAGCCTAATTTATTTATTGTTGTAGAGACCAGGTCT